ATAACATGAGTAGAAGTAATGTCGGTGCATGAGATAAATTTTTATCAGATATTACATTCTAATAGTTGAGATCATGAGTTAATTGAAGCTAGACCACCATGGAAAGCCTGAAAGCATTGAACGACCGTTTCGTCCTATCGTTAGACTCCTCAGCAGTGCGCATACACGATCTCGCTTCAATTGACTCATGATCTCAACTATTAAAATTATCATAATATCCACACACACACACAAACCCTCCTGATATGAAATATCACATTGTTTACGGACCAGAATGTGTAATAAAAATAGCTTTTTTTGCATGTCGGTCTCATTAATACTGTTATTTCTTAAAGATAATTATAAATACTTCATTTACTCTTTATATGAGTTTTTGTTTTTAGCATTTAAGTCACAATGTTGTTTTGTACTTCAATATAACTCTTAAGATTAAGTTTACTCTTATAATCTAAATATTTAAAGCAATTGCCGTTCAATATAAACATTAAATCATATATTTCATTTAACTATTGATTAGTACAAATAAATAGGTTAATTTTCTAGTCGATACCATATGTAGTTAAAACAAATGAAATATATAACAGCAATACTAACTTAAATAAATACAATTAGTATCAGAAGGGGTTTTGTGGATATTAGCCCCCAAATACCCTGGTACGCCTGAGAGTGGGGAGAGTCCGCTCTCCCTCTCGAAATGCTCTCACATGGCCACGTGTATACAGCCTCTGCTAGGGAGGTCCTACCCATTGCCTTCTCGTGGCGGGGGTGTTGTTTACGAAAATGAGAAGACGAAAAGCGAATATCCGGCGCTTTAACCGGGTTGGTGGACATGGAGAGTCCACATAGGGGAGTTGGAAAACCGTGATTCCAAGCCAATGGTGTACATGAGCTCCAGTATCCTGAAGGAACAAATGGCGTATGAACCAATTGTTGGTCACCGGCTACCATGGGACTGTATCTCCTTACGATGCTCCACTGCCTTGTGGATCAGACCTTCAGGTCGAAGGCTCCGGGCGTGCCCCCCTAAGGAAACCACCTGCTTCGGTTTGGGCACCCGGGCAGTATCACAGCCCTCACACATATCAAATGAGATTTGTGTGGTGCATATGTATTTGGTGCCCCCTTGTAACAATATCTATGTGTTAAAATAAATAATAAATAAATTGGTGGATATTATAGTAATTTTTAATAGTTGAGATCATGAGTTAATTGAAGCTAGACCAGCACAGAAAACCTGGAAGCACTGAACGACCGTTTCGTCCCATTGTGATACTCCTCAACAGAGAGCATCAACAATCCCGCCTCGCGAGATTTAAACCTAGGATCTATCGTTCCTAGCAATCACTGTAATTACATAACAATGAATATGTTTAAGAAGAAATGAATAAAAATCTTTTAAAATCTGAACTGATAATGAAGAAAAACAAGATAAATCCAAGGAATACAGTGGTCTTGAGTGCTGTTAGACAAGACAATTAATTATTCACTTGACGAATATTAGGAAAAAGATAAAGCAATGAACTGAAATATCCGTGCATTAAGCTAATATTTTACAACTTCAACTACAGTAAACAATGCTAATTCTTTTTTTAAACTACAGATAGTAGCTGAATTTCATAATGGAAACTTTATTTGATAACGCCCCCAGTATAATTAAAAATACATTTAAGTTAGTCGATCATATATATATGGGTTGCAATGATTAAAATCAATGAACTGCGTAATTTTCACCAAACACAAAGTATAGTAAAAATATATTGAAAATCCATAAAGTGATATAACGAAAATGTGTTGAAAGTCAACCTTACATTTACCTTAAATCGATATAAATTTCCTTCCTCATAAGTTGTACATGCGGATGGAACAACCCCTACACGAACACAAGTCAAAAATAACTTACAGATTAGTCATACCACTTTTTAACACAAAGGTAAGGCTTCAATTTATAGACTGCCAAATCTTCCGCTATGTATAAGTTTTGTATTCAGTTTCCCTTAAAACCAGTTTTTCTGACTTGAATATTTTTGTAAAACGTTTGTGGCATCGATAGGTGAATAAAATTGTCTAGGTATTTAACAACAGAGATATTTAAATAAAGCACGAAGAACAAGATTTACATAATAATATGAATTCGTTTTATTTCAAGGCGTCTCATCAACTGTAAACAGTCTAAATTTACATCAGTAAAATTATTACGCCAAGTTTTATATTACCGTAATCAAGAAAGTTTAGTTCGAAATAACAAGAGAAACAACACATTTGACATAACAGTTTCTATATGCTTTAGATGAAATCGTAAGAAAAGAGAAGGGGATAAAGTGATAAGAGATAACAAACAGACAGTAAAAATAAATTGTTAACAAATGAACAATAATCAAGGCACCTAGTTGACATGATATTCAAGTTATTATCATTACTAAACGTTAGGGGCATTTTTAAAATCTTAATTTCTAAGATTGATAGATTTTCATTCACTTCTAGATAATCATGGTGGATATTGTTCGTACATGTGATGGGAAAAAGCACACTTTGTCATGCCAATGAAACATGTTTCTCGAAACCAAGTAATTAGTAGTAGTTGATTTTGCTTTGATAAGTGTAAAACTAGGCCTCAACTCAATAGTTAGTGGATATCATGTTTGCCAATTCTATAGAATTCCCGAAGTCATCTACATATAGCATCTTGGGTATAGAATGCTTAGAGACACTGAGCTACAACAAAATAGTTGTGAAGCATTTTCTAGTTCCGAAACGTTCATCAGTTTGTCAATTTATGCCGACAATTATATCAAAAATTTAGTATTATATAGAGCAATTAGAATTTTGTCGCAGAATTCATGAGAAATGATCTCTCTCTCTTTTCTTTTTCTTATTCAAAGAATTTTACAAAATTTTAGTAAGGGAATGAATAAAAGGCTAATTAATAGCTGAATAGTGCAGAACTTATAGTGGTGGAAAGGGGATTTAATGTTTAAAACATCCAGCTTTTGATCATTAGTTCTCAGGTTCAAGCAAAAACTCATCAATATTGATGGATGGAACTGAACAGTATTACTAGTCCCCACACAACTGAAGTATGTCTCTAAGTCTAATAGTTAAACATGCAGGTAGTTAAATAGGTTAACAGTAATAATATTCATTTGTTAAAGGAATAAATGTAATTATTCCGAAAATACAATTCATATATTTCTCCGTTTACTATCTCATATTACAGACTTGGTATAAATTTTCTCTTAAACTGGATGGTTTTAAAGATCATATTACCTACTAACGTCCTGAAGATTATGCTACATAGTTACATGCATATAGTTGGTTCTCTTTATCTTCAATGTGTCATATTTCACTGGAACTATCAAAGAAAGAAAGACATTCTGGTTATCTGAAAATTATAGTTACAATCGATGATAATGTAAAAGTTTTTTCCCAGTGAAAACATAAGTCATTAATTGTATATTACATGACTGACATACAATTTATTGTTGAGACCAATGAAGACAATTTTAAATTTTGACTAATGTTTAATCATAAATGCCAATAGTGATATTTGTCAGTGATACACAGTGTACAAATAACACAATGTGTTTTCATATATTCAATCTCCTTGCAGACTATTTAGAATATAAAACTGTACGACTGATAATTCTTAGAAAATATAATAAAATGCACAAATGATACTGCATTGGCAAAATTGATTATGAGGACATATATATCACACTCCTTGTCAACCTAAAACACTAATTTTGAGGATGGGTATCCTCGTTTCTACTAATAATAATATTTAAACGACTATTTCCTTGAAATATTGATACCTATCATTTGAATTAGTGTTCTAGGTTTACATGAAATCTGATAGATATCTAAATGATTAACACTGGTAATACACAAAATGTCATTTGTTTATCACTTATTTTTGAAAATCAATATTACCGCCAGTTTTTATCCCTCTTTGGTTGTTCAGTGTATTATTCTCATTATTGTGTAGTGTTTTAATACAGTCAAACTATTATAAGAAAATTAGTTAAACATTTGTCGGATACTTTTGATTTAACATATTGTGAACTTCCGATAAAACATATATTCATAGAAAGTCCGAGGAAGGAAATGATGTAAGATTCTATAAATTAACTAACTGACAGCATTTAGATGGGGTATTCATTTGTGATTTTCATCAGAGATGCCTATATACCGCGCACCTTACAGCAATGCAAACATTGCAGTTGCATTATGTTGCTTTAAATGTTTCAACTAATAAAATATATTACTTCGTGTATTTATTTATCGGAATTTGCACAAACCTCAAAATATATCCTGAAATTAATATCTTAAAATTCAAGTAGAAACATTAGTGAATTTTTTCATCGTCCTCTGGAGAAACGACTGTTATATAACGATCAATCGACTAAATATGCATCATACAACGAAAACTCCAGAAGAGCAAAACTGGACCAATATATTTGTGGATAAAGAAATTTATGACCTAATATACAATATTGCATTAGTTAAAGGTTAAGTGGATATATATATCCACAAAACATTTATAGATTTGAATACAGACATATATTCTACAGTAATGCAAGGCTAAGTTGTTCAGGTAAACTGGAAACCATTCTGCCTTAGAGAAGTCGAACGATTGTCCATTCTTTTCTGAAGTATAAATTCCAAACATTACCAAACAAAACATTCATACTATGAAAAAGTCCTGTGAGATTAGTAGAATTCGTATTATATTGGTTTATTTTACAATGTGGGAATGGTCTGTGACTGCAATAAAGGAATTATGGACATTTTCGAATTTATCAGTCAAATTGCGTGGCGGTAGCTTAGAATATATAAGTTCTAAGACAGCGTATGAATACTGTAGAATAAAAGAAAGTTAAATTGTATCATGGATTGTGATCATAACATAAAATGGCCAAATCTGAGAGAACTGGATAGAAGTAAACGAATATTTGTACATATAAATAGGGAGAAATTCGAAAATCTTTAATATCTTGAATCTCTCATAGGTGAGATCTTGGAAGATTCTGATTTCTCAAAATACTAGAGATAGGCTGCTCTGTGTTTCGACTTAAACGGGAAATTTCAGCATTTAACCGTGCATTAATCATCGCCTGCTCAACATTATGTTCAACTTCTTCATCTTCCTCTTCGTCTTCCTTTTCAATATTTTCCCCTTCTTCATCATCATTTTGTAAACTTTCTTTAGCTAGCTTTACAGCCAAAAATTCGTTGTAATGTTGCTTTCGTTTTTCATGAAATTTTCTTTGATGTTCATCTTCCTCCTGGTCAACTTTTGTGGCACTTGGCTAAGATCAAAAAAATTAAATTAACAATAAGTATTACGTAGATTGAGATTTTCATGTCATTAAAACAATTTCATTCAATTAATTTAAACAGAATAGTGTAATACAACAAAGACACATTCTGATTCATATGGTTTCGGACATTCCGTAGTTATCAATTTTTCAAGCTCGTTCATCTATCTCTTCACAGCTTCACTCAATTTGTCTTGGTGCGTATTTGTACCGATATACGAATGCTGACACGAGCACCAACCTCAAAGTTTTGTAGTTAGATTTAGAGCTACTTATCTGAGCACAAATATCATGCGATAAGCATACTGAAGGTTTATTTGACTAGGTCTCATAAGAATAGGAATATTCATCTGCAGCAAGAAACTAAAGTGCATCTAATTCTTAATAGACAGATCATGGAAATCACTTTTTGTAAATAAATAACAAGCAAGTAAAAGCCATCACATTATACACCTTGATAACATCAAAAAACCAATTGTTGATATAGTGAATCATTTTTCAAGATATTCAAGAGGCACTTCATGTAGTAGGTTGATTGTCTTAAAATAAATCTTAGAGGGTAGTAACACAATGTTGTAAGTAGTCAACTTGCAGCTACCATTTTCAGGAAGCGTGCTGCTTAACATACCGTATAAACGAAGGTTTAGGCTTGGTCGCTGAGACCCATTAGTACATATTACATAACTTGTTTATCAAGTGTGAGTTCATGTGCTAAGCTTTCAAACAAACTGTGTGACTAGTGATATTAACCGATTACTAAAAGTAAGGTGGAACGCGGTTTAATCATACGACTTACTGCTTGAAAGTCGAGTGCATTAACTACAAAGTCACAGCTACATAAGGTGTCTTGATTATTATCCGGCCTAGGGTGGTGTGAGAACGTCCTATTTCTATATTAAATTGCACTTTTTCTCTTCCTTATTTATAATAACCATTTTATGTTTACTTGACCACTAGTCTCCATAAATGCCTTGACAAGTATATGAGTGGCTAAATTGTTCAAAACGTATAGCGCAAATACATTATAAATTTCGGATCAACTTCGTCTACTCATTCATTTATTAAAAAAGTCTTCCGATTGGTTAGATAGAGATGAATGCTGAGAATTATTCACAAGAAATAATCAGTCTAGCTTAACAGTTGGGATGAGGCAGACCATTTACGCATACACATGTCATGTAAATACCACTTAAAAGGAGACATATCTTCTGTTCATATAGACTGTATCAAGAATATTTGTGCGATACAGTTTCACTGATGGAAAAAGGACAAGTCATTCGTAACATACTTCACTTATTGCCGACCGACATAATGCTTTCGTGTTCAACACAAGTATGTTAAATCCGTACAACTGTATACTGATCTTAGAATAAAAAATTTGACTGAGGGTTTGACTAACTAATATATTACTTTAATCCAAACTTGTCCTCGGTTGTGTGTCAGTCAGTCAGTAACAACGTAGGACTTCGTACGTACGTACATCAGTTCGAGTTGCCACACCACATTAGCACAGAGGTGCAGTTGTCGATTCAAATCCCATAGTGGTAGAGGTGGTAAAAGTATAGGCAGTAATCGGAAACATTAGGGTTTGAAGATGTTATTCAAGGAGTATAATACAGTGAAATAAATTTAGAAAGAAAACAAGGGACATGAAGAATTCAGAAGATCAGAATTTGGGAGAACACAAAGAATGGATGCACCTGCACCATTGCAAACGATTTTGAACCATGTCATTCAAGGTCTCTAACCATCGGTTGCTATCATCTCGCGGTCCCCAACCAGGTAGTCTACACCTACCAACATGGCTCAGTCTACTTGTCAGTGACTTCATAGACTTGTGCCATGTTTTGGTCTGGCCTCCCCTAGCTTTCTTCCAACCTGCTCCTACACCATAAAACATCGCACGTCGAGGCAGTCGGTGGTTGGGCATACGTAACACGTGTCCCAGCCATCCCCACTGATGAAGTTTCACTACGTCATCAATTGATTTGCCATCCTTACCTAGTACCCGTTTCCTAACAACTGCATTACTTATTCGATGGTCCCAGGATATACGAGCAATGTTTCGAAGACACCTATGATCGAATACTAGTAACCTACGAATATCCTCTACTCTTACCGGCCATGTTTCACTGCCATAAAGTAGGACGGAACGAACTGCTGCGCAGTAAACACGTCCTTTGGTTGGTAGACGGACACCTCGCCTACGTCATAAATGACGCAAGTTGGCAAAAGCTAGTCGAGCCTTCTGTATCCGTGCTGAGATTTCGTCACAAACCAGACCACAAGGGCTGATGAGACTTCCCAGATAAGTGAAGCGATCGACACGCTCAAATACTTCACTCCCTATCATTAGTTCGGGTGTCGATGCAACCCAATCCTGAAGCAACATTTTGCATTTCGAAAGGGAGAATCGCATCTCGAACATGCTTGCATTGTTTCTTATAGTGGTCAGCGTCTTCACCAAATAGAACTATGTCATCGGCATATTCTAGGTCAATAAGTGAATCTCCCGATAGACGTTCAACCCCTGTAAATTTAAATGAGGAAAGTGTTATCTCTAAAAGTAAGTCAATGACAAAGTTGAACAAGAATGGAGAGAGTGGACAGCCCTGACGAACACCACTTGAGGTAATCAATTCTGATGACAGTTCGCCATAATTATTATTATTATTATTTGGACACATGAATATTGGTACAAGAGAGCGCCAATATATATGCGCCACACAAAACAATGAAAATTCGAGAGGAATACAAAGAAAGAAAAAAAAGCTAAGGAGCGCAACAAAGAAAAGAGAGAACAATAACGAAGAGATTGGTGTAAGGTAATGTGCTAGTAATCAGGGAACGCAAAGGTACAATCGGAAATCTTTCAGGTAAGGGAGACAGAACCACTTTTTATGAAGAAAGTAAAAGAAGGTTACAGCAGGATCGCCACTGGCTTCTATTCTGAGCCATATCTGATAACGTCTCTAGCCACTGTGTAGCACCATCTCTCAGACCCCAACCAGGGAGTCGTGAAGGACCAACACAAGCCAGTCCTTTGCAGCTTTCTTTCATGCCACGACACCATGTCATGCACTGACCACCTCTCCGCTTCTTCCAACCAGTCCCAGAGTCGGCAAATAATGCACGACGTGGAATTCTCTGGGACGACATTCGGAGAACATGTCCAAGCCACCGAAGTCGGTGTTTCAAGATGGTAACACCAATTGAATTATCATCTCTGTGCCCGAACACACGATGCCGAGCCTCTGCATTACTGACATGGTGTTGCCACTGAATGTCAGCAATCCTTCGGAGACAGCGATGATCGAACACTGAGAGTCGTCTAACGTCCTCAACTCGGAGAGGCCAGGTTTCACAAGCATAGAGCAAAACTGCTCTCACCGACGCGTTGTAGATCCGACCTTTTACAGCCAGACTAACATCACGAAGGCGCCAAAGATGGCCCAGATTGGCATAAGCCGCTCTGGCTTTCACTATACGTGCATTGATCTCACCACTCACACCCCCACCAGCACTTATGCAGCTACCCAGATACACGAACTTCTCGACTACGTCTATCTGCTCACCATCCAGGGTGAGTACAGGATTGGAATCCTGCCAGTCTTGTAGGAGTACTTTGCACTTCGAAGGTGCAAAGCACATACCATACCTAAGCTCTCACTCTACCAGTTTTGTTCGAGTAGAGAGCCTTTATAATGTTAATGTACTTCTTTGGTACTCCTTTCAGTGACAAACACTGCCATAGAACCTCACGATCAACAGAGTCAAATGCCGCCTTAAGGTCGAGAAATACTACGATTGCGGGGCGTCTGAATGTGTGTCTATGTTCTAGGACCTGACGTAGTGTGAATATCTGGTCTATACAACAACGTCCAGGTCTTAAACCAGCCTGGTTTACTCTAGTTTGCTCTTCACGAGCTTTAGTTAGGCGTCGAAGTATTATTGAAGCTAATATTTTAGACACTATATTAGTTAAACTGATTCCTCAGTGATTGTCACAAGAGGACTTTTCCCCTCTCTTATAGACTGGCACAATCAGTGATTGAGACCAGTCAGATGAGATCACGTCTAGTTCCCAGATTCTACCTAAGACCTCAGTTAATCTCACTGCTAATACTGGACCACCATCCTTGAAAATCTCAGGAGTGAACCTGTCAGGGCCTGCTGCTCTCCCTCACTTCAGATTTCCTATGTCTTTTTCAACTTCGTGAAGAGACGGAGGACCTACATTTACTTGCCATTCAGGTTGACTGGAGATCGTGGGAAACCGAAGTGTGGCTGAAGGCCAGTTGAACTGATCCCTAAAGTGTTCTGCCCATCGATCCAATCTCCTGGATTGAGAATGAATAATATGTCCATCTTTCTCTGAGATTGTTTCGCTAACGGTCGGGTTCCTAATACCGGTTTCCTTAACAAGTCTGAACAATTGTTTGCTATTACCTATTGCCGCTGCCTTTTCCATCTCTTTTGCTTTCGCTACCCACCACTGTTTGCGATCATTGCGTAGGCTTCTTGTCAGCTTGCGCTTAAGCTGACTCCTCTCTTCATTATGTTCAGTGCCAGGTGGAATGAGTTTCCGAGCATCTATCAGTGCGATATATGCTACTGAGATCCAGTGTTTCTCTCTAACCTCGTGGTTTACCGTACTAGCAGATATCACTGCTGTTTCCACAGCTTTTCGGATATCATTCCATGCTGCTTCGGGGTGGGCATCACATACATGGCTACCTAACTGTTTCTCTAGTTGTTCCTGAAAGATACTCTTAGCTTGACTATCATTAAGTAGGGCCCCAAGAGGTTTCCTTGCAGCGTCTTTCCTACGTCCAGTAAGACGCAGACAAATACGCGCTCGCACTAGAACATGATCTGAATCTAAGCATGTGCTCCAGAATGAGCGACAGTCTTCTACCGAGCCCCTCCATCGGTGGCTGATAGCGATGCGATCTATTTGGATCCAACGTTGGGACGAATTAGGGGATCGCCATGTTAAAAGATATTTTTGCTTATGCTTAAGGTTAGTATTTGCAAGAAAGAGGCGGTTATCTGAGCATAGCTGCAACAGACGGTCGCCATTATCTGTTCTTTGAGCCAAGACGCTATAAGACCCACCCAGGTGTCTTTCCCTTTCGCTTAGTTTACCTACTTGAGCATTAAAGTCACCAGCCACTATTACTACATCAGAGCGTCTAGCTTTTCGGAGAAGGTCGGAAAGCTTTCTGTAAAACTCATCTTTTACATCATCTGAGCTGCAGTCAGTAGGAGAATAGGCAGAGACGACGAGTGTCCCTATCTTTCCGAGTCCTTACTGTTCCGTTTAGACGGTTGTGTGATTAATTCTAATACCTTATATGTATACCATTTTAATTTACCAATCTTTGTTTGCTTATCCACCCATATATTTGTTAATCATCCAACTAGAACTTCAGTCTAATCGTGTTCATTACTGCTGTAAATGTCAGTTAATCCAATTAGTTAAGTATATACTCCTATTCGCAATCTTATTTAATCCGTTAATCCTCGGTCAGCGAGTTAAAAACGACAAACATAACCAGCCAATCGGCTACAACGTGGAACCAGGCACATATATGCATCGGTCCAAGTTGCCACACCTCATTAGCACAGCAAGACAAACAACGGACTCATAGTAGTTAATTCAATGGTGGTAACATATAAAAGGAAGATTGCATATGAGGATATAGTACAGGAAGAAGAAATTAGTTCGTAGAAAGAGACATGAAGCGATTTTAATCTCATAGTTTAAGGAAAGACAGAGTGTATACACCTACGCCACTGTGATCGATTCTGAGCCATGTCAACCACAGTCTCCAACCATTGGTTATGATAGTCACACGGACCCCAACCAAGTAGTCTACATCTACCAACTAGAAGTTGGTGACTTCAAGCACTGATGCCACGTTTTGGTTAGACAAACATAACGGTTGCCTACAATGCAAAATGTGAGTTGTTAAGAGGCTTTTGATCCAAGTCAGGTGACGGTATAGACCTGCACTGAGCTGTTGAGAATGTTGATCCATAGCGTGATGATGATTAAAGTAGGATTAGGTTAGGAAAAATAATGGCGAAAGATATTCCACAAGTGCATGAGTCCACTAACCGCTAACCTAAGTTGTGTACAGTGACGCATACTTGGCGACTACGATCCTCGAGAAGAGGCATAACAAAAAGCCATGGTTTGGAATTGTCGAAATCGAAAAAATTCATCCGTTTTCTCTTACTTATCTGTTCTTTTTGACTGTTTTTTTCGTCTTTCTATTTCGCTTAGCTTCTAACTTTTTCAAAATTGGATTTGACTCGTTACTAAGATCCTTCTTCACGTATCTAAACTGACACAGCATAACAAGGACTGAGCGATCTATATATTTAGAAACAATAACTAGTAAAACAATGATAAGTCGTTGCTTCAAATAGCCTAGTGGTTTACAAGTGGATGACCTTAAAAGCCTGAAAAACAAAGTGATAGCTGCCGACAAAGCTAAGGATTACCTGAAAGTCTTTCGGACTAGTGTAGTAAACATAAACTTAGCTGGCAACAACAGAAGCATTACTTTGAAAATAAATTGGCATTAGGTACACTCCTATGTAGGCAGCCAGAAATCTGAAATGATTGGACATAACAAATGTTCCCTAGGTTCTTTCTCAACCTGCGAAGCTTGCTTCAACAATGTTCATCCTAATTTGATAGGACCATTGCCAAATTCAAATAGATATGCTTACATCTTGACGTGTGTGGACCGTAACACACGATGGCCAGAAGCAGTACCTATCAAGGACAACACGGCTGATACGGTGGTCTACACCGCCAAATGATGAGTGGTTTACTTCGGTTGCCCTTCAACCATCACTACAGACCGTGGACGCCAGTTCCAATCCGGACTTTCTGTTGTCTCACTACACTACTAGGAATTACACGATTCGAAACGACCGCCTACCACTCACAAGCCAACGGGTTGGTAAAACGACTTCATCGACAGTTGAGGGCCTCGCTTTCAGCTGACAGTGCAAAATGGATTGGAGCTTTTCCACTAGTACTACTCAGTATTCACAATGCAGTGAAAGTTAACATTAGATAAACTGCAGCACAACTCGTTTACAAAACGACACCGTTTTAAAAGAATTTGTGGGTCCCCCTTCTTCCTTAATGAATGTAGGTCTAAAGTCATACACGAGCAGGCTTACAAACGCTATACATTTAATTAAACCCGTTTCCACACAACCGCAACCAACTGTTTTCGTCCGACGTGTCTTATAACAAAGTACACACGTTTTAGCCTGTCACAACTTACTACGATGATCTCTCAAAATGACGTACGAAGGGCCTTTCAAAGTCCTTCATCGCAAACCTAAGTACTATATCATCGATAAGAACAGAACTAACGATAACGTCAGCACTGACCGTCATAATGTTGCTTATCTAAATGGAGACTAATTATTTTGAGTCTCCTGTACAATCAAACGATGCGAGCCTAAAAATTACGATACCACTCCCGATGAACAACCACCACGATGAAACTTCGCTGGTATCCGAAAACCGGCCGAAAGAGTTCTGGAAAGAATAAGATATTCAAAACACTCAAACGACTACTGTACGTAGGACACTGCATAACGTTTCATTTTATTTCGTTTCTTGCGCCCCACGATAAATCTTAGGTTTTTTCCGTATTTTTGCATCAAAAAGATCGTTCGCTTCTAATATGTTTATATGTGTATATATTTTCTCTCTGAGAAAACCAAAAAACAACTTTTTGCACAGAAATTTCTCACGCTATAGCATGATATATGTACGCATATATACTAGGTTATTTCGCACCTTCTGCTTCCTTCGCAAGTGCGAGTGTATTTTGACATGCGCTCAAACTTTGACTTGTTCTCTTTTCCAGGACGGTTGGAAAAGATGAAAAACTAACGAATACGATTAATCGAAACTTGGTATTGTTATATTGTACCTTATGGCCCCACATATTGGAGAAAGACGACCATAGAAAGCTATCAGAAGAGTTCTTTACAGACGACAAGCTCGTTGGGTTAAAACTTCCGGTTGATCACGTCCTGGGGTCATCATTACACCACTAAGGCGGGTGAACTACAATGGCAAATAAATGCCCAAGACAAATTGTCACAATATGTGGTAAAAGCGGCAATGAATCCCAAGACCAAAGAGTCTATACCGTTATCATTTTTTATAGTTTATAAAAAACTAATCAAGGGAAGTGAACTGTGTGAAAAGGAACCTGAACGATGAATCACTTTCTGAAAATAAGCAAACACTAAATATGCGGCCACGCTACAAGAACTTACTATTTGGTATACGCTTGAAGAGTGTAGTTTCCCAGGAAATATGGAGAATAGAAAACACGTAGCTGAAGAGTCCCACAAATATTGGGCAGTGAGTTAATAAGTTCTGGATTTCAAATAAGGTTAATAAAGTAAGGCATTTCAAAAATGAACTACATCAGAGTAGTGATACAGATATTGCTTTTACATAACCTAATCAGGCATAAAATACCCCGAAATAATAGGGAAATAAGTGTGGAACTTACTAACTGCTGATCGGGATCCTTTGAAGCCGCAGAAAGCCTGGCAGCTAAATCTTCTGCAGTAAATAAGGGTCCAGAAGTGACGGCAGAACCATCCTCAGGATCAAAAACGTAAGGTGTTTTCGGTTCTTCAATTTTCATATGACCATACGTCTTATCTGCGGGATGATAAGTAGCTAGAATATTTGATTCATCCCACTGGAAGCTCTTCTGAGGTACCTGATCACTAGACTTTCTCAATATACTTTTAGAAACCTTCCTTTCTTCTGTAGCCTTGGGCATCGTGAAAGTAGCGCACTGTTTCAAATGGTTTCAGGTTCTAGACGGAAGAGAAACTTACGCTCAATGTGCTTCCGTATCTAGTAGCAATGGAGTACCGATGCCTGCATGTAGTTACCTAGGCATATTTAACCATAGAAGAGAAAAAGTTGTTTAATTATAGCGAGATGCCGTCCCTAGTCCTTAAGAATATGTCAAGTTTTCTCCCAAAGAACTCATTGGAAGTCGCTTGGGCTCGCTAAGCCAGCTGTTGATCACTCCCAAGGAGTCGAAGGTATACCTACAATCCATTCTGCTATGTTGTACCTCCAGTGGTAAAGGTTCATTTGTTGAGGGAGCTTCTCATAAGACTTAACTGTGAGTCCTTGAACTGATTTCGTGACTCACCACTGAGTGCGTTTCAGTGTGTCCTTATCCTTTCGGAGTGAGGGAAGAAACACGAATAAAGAGGTTGAAGATTAAATGGGAAGTCCGTTATCCCAACTGGCCGAAAATGCTATTCAGTGTTACCAGTGAAAGGTTTGCCCGAAAATCATTTTTGTCGCATTTAGCGTAAGATTTCATAGGATGCCAACACTCCCAGATCTTTTTCGCCTTGGGATACCTCTAGGTGGGAGTTACCCAAGTTAAAGTCGTGGTCTACAACATGTCTCAGGTGGGCTACTTCACACTTTGGAATGTTAAAGATAAGTTTGTTGTTATCCATCTACTGTTGAAGTCGAGTCAAATCCTCCTGAAGTGCCAGTTTATCCTCTTGGTTGCAAACTTTTTTCCAGAGCTCCTCATCATCAACGAAAAGTAATGAATCTGACGACGCATTCTGTGGAAGACTGTTTGTGTAGACTAAGAAAAAAGAGGTCTTTTTACTGAACCCTGGGGGACCCCAGTAGAACATTCTGTAGCCTGAGAAAAAATGAAGTTAACACTGACTTTAAAAAGTCAGTTAATTAGATATCAAGTAAGATAATCAACTAATGGTAATTTAATACCTAATCGTTTGAGTCTACTGATGACAGATATACGATTGACCTTGTCAAACGCTTTTCAGAAGTCAAGATATATAACGTCAACCTTCCCATTGCGATCGAGGATGGTTGTCCATCTGTCCACCGTGTTCATTAAGTTGGTTTTACAAGAGTGACTTTCTGAAACCGCGCTGTTGGGTTGAAAAGAAGCTTACGAATAGTAAGTATTCACGTAGACTGTAGCATTTCAGAGTATTGAGAAAAGTGCTACTAGCCTGTAGTTTATAGGTTCGTTGCGTCGACCTCCTTTGAAAATTGGTGTAATGTAAGCCAGTTTACAGTTTTCTGGTATCGTGTCATGAATTTGCGGACGTGAGAACATCACGCTAAGCGGTGTTGCCATGTCTGAAGCTACTTCCTTCAGTATAGCAGAATGAAAAATGTACGGGCCGGGAGGTGTCCTTGTTTAGGTGTTGCAGTTTCTAATACTTCCGAGAGTCCTGTGGAGTTGTATGTAAGGCTCCCATCAATATAGTTAGTACATAGCGGTCAAGGTGTCTCAAAATACTGTTCCGCCAGAAGGTCGACGGGGTCACTGTCGTTGTTGGTTGGGCATTCAGAACTTAGAAACAGTTAAACTCCGATTTTGGCTTGTCGAATAGAAGCTGCGTGATAGAATAAGCTTTTCGGATCAAAGCTAAATTTGTCGACTGGCTTTATCGGATACTGGAGCCTGTCTTCTATTCTTGCATTTGTGCTTTGTTACCTTGTTTGTTTGGATTGCCTGTATGAGTTTTTGCTACCAGTTAGTCCGTATTCCGCCACGCAGTACTGTAGAATTGTGGTCTACTTCGTTATTGGTACTGCTATAATAATATACTTAATTATTAAATTGTAGATTCGTCGTGTTTTAACTGCTTAATTTATAAAATCCTATGTGGAAGTCACATCATTGTCTACACTGACTCATCGTATCATAACAATTACCAATATATGATGGAGAACACATGCTGGTTGGAGATACGACAACATATTCAATATGAGTAACAAGAAGTTGGACAGAGCGACCATGCCTGCGATGTTGTGCCATGCCATACGATCAATTCGAATTGATTAAATTCATTTTTCCTTCCTTCTCCATCGTCGGGTTAAATGTTGAATATCTATTTTCCCAGTTGTTTCGTGTTCAGCTTTGAGGATTACGTGGTTAGGTTCCAGTGCACTGCAGATGGACTAAAAAGTTCGCTATCAACTTGATATGGATGCTCATTGGAATTTCATACTGCACATGATCATATTTACTACGAAGCAATCTCTTCCGTAAACGGTCCGCAAAATTATAAGCAAACTAAAGTCATCGAAAGTCTCAGTCTGTAATGACCGAACAGCCAATATTCGGTTGGAACAACGGACTGACGAACCCAAAATTTATTCGATTAGACCAGACCAAGTTCCTCTGTATAGCTCACAACGCGTCTTTGAGATACTCGTATTATATTATATCAAAACACAAACTCTGTGTTCAATATAATATAATACGAGTATCTCAAAGACGCGTTGTGAGCTATACAGAGGAACTTGGTCTGGTCTAATCGAATAAATTTTGGGTTCGTCAGTCCGTTGTTCCAACCGAATATTGGCTGTTCGGTCGTTACAGTTCTCAAACGAACAGTAATCTCAAGTGACAAATTCTGGAATGCCTGGAAAGCGCAATAAGGTCAGCGAAAACTTGGCATTGGGCCACGGAGAAATGCAATCGGATGCACCTCCAGATGTACGGCAAGTCAAATTAGATGCATTTTCATGTCATGGCTCTAATGTTAGTTTAGTAAGTAGACGTAGTAAAGTTAGCTCTAGGATTACCTTAGCAGAGTTAAAAGAAAGGCAATTATTAGAAATGAGGGACTTGAAAGATAGACAGAGGAAACAACTACTGTGCTTTCAGAGAGAGTTTGGGTCGTTAAGGCTGAACGAAAGCACGTGTAGCAAGTTATCTTCTGTTTCTAACAGTGATGACAGAGAAAAGGAGTACGTTCACAGGTTCGTAAGTCCTTCTCATGACCTTAGGATAAAGTCTCTAGAAAAGTCAAAACTGTTAGATTATCCAGGAACGAAGGAGAAAGTGACCTTGGAATCTCTAAGTGTAGGTCATGAACTTCCAACAGTAGAGCGCGATGCCTACTTCGATGAAAGTTACAATATTGTTCCTTTACCTAGAGGAGTGGCTGAGGAAGACGTTGCTACCCCTGTTATTTGCAATGAGTCTGGTATGTGTAAAGCTGGCTTCACCAAAAATGATGCTCCCAGAGCCGTATTGCTCCCTATTGTTGGAAGAACTAGACATCAAGTAGTGACTGTGGGAATGGATGGAAAGGACTGTCATGTGGGAGACGATGCTCGATCGAAACGTGTTATCCTGACACTGAAGTACCGAATTGTACATGGTATTGCGACTAAGTGGGGTGATATGGGGAAGATGTGGTACCACACATTCTACAAAGGGTTGCGAGTGGCAACAGAGAAACATCCGGGGTTGTTGAGAGCAGTTTCATTGAACCCGAAGGCAAACTGTGAGATGACAAGGATCATGTTTGAGACTTTTAATACACCAGGTACGTGTGCTGCTACTCAAACGATGTTGTCGCGATGTACATCTGATCGTACAACTGGTATAGTGTTGGACTTAGGTGACGGTGTGACCCACACAGTTCCGATTTATGAAGATTATGCGTTGCCTTATACTGTTTTGCGATTGGACTTTGCTGGTAGAGTTCTTGCCGACTTTAGGATGAAGATCCTGACTAAGACAGGTTGCAGTTCCTCTGTCTATTCGTGGAACATACTCAGGCGCAAACCACCGGACATCGTTTTACTCTATAGTAAGTTTAGAATGGCACCTATAAAACAGGTAGCTGTGTCTAGACTGGAACTAACAGCGGCAGTTCTGAGTGCTAGAATGGGGGAAGTTTTAAATAAAAACCTTCCTCATGTGTTTGACAAGACTCACTTCTGGACGGATTCTATGATAGTACTGTACTATATAAAAAATACAGATAGTAGGTATTCCACCTTCGTGGCTAATCGTCTGGCCGCTATTCGTCATTTAACATCTGTGGACCAGTGGGGGCACGTAGAATCCAATGAAAATCCTGCTGACTGGACATCACAAGGCATACGGAAGGAGCTAGATTTAAAGAACTGGATTGAGGGTCCTTCCTTCTTGAGGAAGAGGGAGTCTGTAGGAACACTAACGCTTATGTGTGAAAACCCCCCAGAAAATGTTGAATTTAAAAGATGTCACACGACCAACGCAGTTGCGAAAAAACATAGCTTAAGTTTAATTCTGCTATATCACTCAAATTGGATAAAGCTGATTAAAGCGGTAGCATGGCTCAGAAGATACGTGACCTATATAACCATCATGTACTCCCGTCACAATGACAGGTCCCTAAGTGTGGGCTATCTGTCAGTTGATGAATTGGATGCAGCTAAACACAAGGTATTAGACTTAGTGCAAAAGGAAGTGTATGGGGAGGCAGTAAAAGTGTCTCGATGCAATGGCGTAAGCGCAACTGATATAAAAGAGCTAAAAAATCTTTCACCTACGCTAATCGATGGATTGCTTTGTGTCGGCGGACGATTAAATTACTCGGATTATCCACTCTCAATCAGACATCCGGTAATTTTACCCAGTCATCACTTCGTAACAGAACTTATTATTAGACACCATCACCACCTAGAAGGTTACACCGGGACATTACAATTGTTAGCTACCATACCACCAAATTATTGGATTGTTAAAGGAACCAATGCAGTTAAACGAGTGATAGGTAGATGTGTGAGGTGTATACGCGCGAAGGCCACATTAGGCCAACAGATGATGGCACCTCTCCCCACGTGTCGAGTGCAGCAAGGCTGGTTTTGCTTCTCCTCCGTCGGGATAGACTACTTTGGGCCGTTGATAGTGTGTCGGGGAAGAAGTGAGGAAAAAGGATATGGATGCCTATTTACGTGTCTCCAAACACGTGCCGTACGTTTGGAAGTAG